CTATAAAGTACGGAAAAACATGTTCTTTCCAACACAAATAAAGAATCGATACACGCAGCAACAAAAATATCCGATATAGTGTCGATCTCAAACAAAAGGAAAGGTCCAATCATTCACGGATGTTCAGAATTACGAATGTGTCGCCCCCTGACACAGGTAGGGTGCTAACATCATATATGTTATACAGTAGGATACGAGAAAATGCATGGTAACCAATATCAGCGTGTAGCGACAGACTCACAACTTTTGCTGGGAATTTCGATGATGAAGAGTTTGGAGTGGAAGACCCGCATGCAGCGCACATTGACGACTTTGTCTCAACCACTGAACACTCCTCGGATTTGATGGGCGATGAAGGAAATGTTTCCGCAGGAGATTCATGCTTCACAGGGGGAGCGGTTGCAGCAGCCTGTACCTGCGTCTGTGAAATAAATGTATAAATGATCATCGAAAAACGTGCAATATGATTCCTCATTGAACCGTGACAGGAGCTTAATTCCACGTCCAGAACAACTTCAAACGAAGACCATACTGTACATTTCTCATTCATGCGGATGAGCAAAAAAAACTTCTGAACAATATTTTCTTTTTCAAACAAAACGCCGTTAACTCCACTGAACATGACAATCACTCTTTAGAAACAAACAATACACGCGAAAGAAAAATAACAGAGATAAAAGAGGAGGAAGGAGAAATAGCTGGATTATCAATACGTTTGACGACCTCTAGAAGGTGATAAACGTGGTATAAAAATTGTAAACATCTTTTACTCACTTCGTTCTTTGTATCCGGTGGCAATGCCTCGATGTTTTGATCACTCTGCAAACGAGAGTTACAATATTATTCTCATTTTCGTGGAATAGAATTGGACTGTAGTTCACAGGACGGAAAATAACCGCTTACCGCAGATTTTTCACTGGCAGCTATCGCTGCAGCAGTGGCTTCCGAGAGCGCGGTACGCACTTCGGCTAACTCATCTTCAGTCGATTTCAAATCGTTTTTAATCTGCAGGAAAACATGGCGAAGATAGGGGGAGTGAAAAATGGGTCTTCACAATAAAAAATTTCTAATGGTGCAAAAAACAAGCATATCACAACAGCAGCCGGAAATAAAAATAGATGGTGTTTTTTCGCATTCCCAGAAATTTGCACTCCTTTTTTTGTCATGTGCTTGTAATGGTACCACGGTTCTTCGCTAAGTTTGTCACAAATATTACAATAAGTACCATTTGACAGAGTCCATTAAAATTCTTCTGAAAGCACAAGAACAGCCCCGCCGATTTTGCTAAACGTCTTGTAGGTGATTCCGGTGATACTACATGTCTTTATACATATATATATATATGATATTATTTTTTTATATTTTTTATATATATTTATATTTATATTTTTTATATTTTTATTTTGAGTGGTGAACAGCAAAAAGATAAAAGCCAGAACCAAGAAGGCTTGCTATTCAGTCACGGAAGCCAGTGACCCAAGTATCGCGGGACCAGTAGTGGTGAATAACATAAAGCCCCGTTGGGTTAGGCGTGTTATTGAATCATATAAAAACGAAGCTGACAACAACCGCCTGTACTCAGAATGGACACTTCCTTCAAAAATACCCAATTTGCAACGCGCGTATCATAGCATTGACCCATAAAGGGACATTTTAGGAAAGGCCCGGAAGAATACACACAGCGATCAGGATAAGATAATAGTGAGCAACGTACACATTTTGAGGACAAGCATCGAAATCACTTGGCAAAAGATTATCGAATATACATAGCTGATGAGCAACAACAACCGTGAAATTAGTCGTGTACTTTGACAGAGATCCTGTCGAGTGTTTCAGATACCGATCGTGTTAAAATAAGTTACGAAAGATACTGAGATCACATGTGTTGCGGTTAGCAGCATCCAATCCACCTATACAAAATCGATTCATAATAAGAAATCCTAAAGGGACCGTCGCCTCCGAAAGCTTCGGTGTGGTCGGGGATGGGTGGCTCGGATTGCGGATGATCGCCCCTTTCCTGGAACTCGGAAAATGCTCTCATACGACTCAGCTTCTCAAATACCGGGGTATAATTGGGTAGGTGCACTACTGGCAGTTCACCCAGGGGAGATGGCTACAAAACTCTGCGCACGAACAGCGAACACACCTTCCTGTGGGTGGCAGTGGTCACCGGATCCATTGGGCACCTTTGACTTTTGACCTCGTCCAGAGGGTGTACGATCCGATGAACTGGACATCAGCTCCCAATGGACTACGGTTCTTACGCACCACACCGCTGCCTTGCGGGTCAGGCTTTGGTTAGTTGAAAGCTCCGGTTGTAAACTCTCATAAGAAAATTCACCTGCTTCGGTCCGGGCAACCTAGCAGGATCGTGCAATCGAGCAAATCGTTGACCTTTATTCTTTTTACAAATATTATTATAAAGTGATTTGTATGGCACATGATCTGAACTCAGGTGTGAAAATACAAAATGGTCATGTTTAGAAAAGCCTGTCCAGGCAAACACATACAGCGATGTAGAATGCCTCTATATGCCTTAGTATGATCGGGAGCGTGTCTCGGGCGTCGAAATGGCCAACTCCTCTAGAAATGCTCACAAACGACCAAGCACCTCAAATAGCTTCTGCTGAGGAAGTCTTTCTCGTAGCGGGGGTGTTATCATTTGAGTTGAAGGGCGAAGGCGAACTTCAGCGCTTTTCAGCGGGTTGATTAGCAATTGGTAGTCACTCTGAGGGAGTTGACTAAAAACCTGATTCCAACCCACCCACACTTGACGTATGGAGCTCATACGGGCACCAGTCCTCGATGCAATCGAATCGGTATCCATAATTCACTTTTGGCGTCACAGGCAAGTGCTCGGCCCAAGGGCAATCTAGATCTTAAATGGTGAATGTTTGGATTAGCCCATTCGGTTTTTCATAGGCACCAGGAACCGTTGATGATGTTCGAATGGGCTAATCCAAACATTCACCATTTACATTGATTGAGCCATTTGCACAAGGTGATAACCATCGACCGTGTAGCCCAAGGGTAAGGGTTTAAAGTCCCAGGCCGAAGAATCACGGTTCGAGTTCTGACAGGGATAAAAAAAGTACGCACTGCTGACGAGTGCCAAACAGAACGAAACAGCTGTCTAGTGCTCTTTGTTGGTTATCACCAACATTTCCATCGCACTAAAAGGTAATCTAGAGCCCCTGAATAATTAGCCACATCCGACAAATGATTGAGTTGGTCAACCGGTTACCGGCCCCCAAAAGATCGGGGTTTCCCTTCTTCACCCCACTGCTCTGTGGGTCAGGTTCTTTAACCAAAGACTCCGGTGACAACGCACCGTCGATTCAAGACTCGTTGAAACACTTGGGAAGGTGTTGTTGCAAAATTGGTAGGAACCCGTTCCTATATTTTCGTTGGGTAACCACATCTTGGAAGTATACGCAACTGTGTCTACCTGGGAGTTGCACAACGGCTAACGGAGGTGTGGGCGAGATCTCTCAAAGCATGATCAAAGCAAGATTGGCATTTGGTAATCTGCGGTCTTTCTTACACCGGCGAAAACATGTAACTTTCACAGAAAGAGCGTGTATTGCGCAACGCTACTGGCCGTGTTGCTCTGTCTGGGAGACCTGGCCTCTCAGAGCAGGTCGTGTCCAAACACTATTCATCTTCGATAACTGCTGTCTGATCAACATCGCCCGCGTATGGTGGGAGCACCGCGTAGATAACGATGAGGTCAAACGACGTGTCAGATAGACTTCCACTGAACAAAACCATTTCACTGCATCGTCCCAGGTGTCTGCGGCACGTCATACAAATGCCTGAGAAACGTTTGTCCTACTCCACACTATTTACAGACATTGATCTAGGCTGAAGGAAACTGCGAGGTGGAAAGGCTATGATGTGGCGTAGATGGTTAAAGAGATTGTGCTTCGATCTGGCTCCCGCTGGGCCTCCTCGGCTGAGACCCAAATGATCCGGATACAGTTTGTCTGGAGACACTGCGGGACATGGCATCGAACCGAATTTAGTGGCCCCAATGCACCTCTGCCCGTGTGCGATTCCAAAAGTAAAATCAAGCAAAAAACCTTAATATGGTGAGAAGTAAACAAGCAGCAAAAAAATTGTTATCCCCACAGTCGACTATTTTTGTTTTCTCCCTTTTTCTGTTTCTTTTCGCGTTCACGTCACGGTTATTTTGGCAATGTCTGTAAATATTGGAGTTAAATAGATATATACATATCGATGAAGAACAGGTATTCATATTTTGTATGTGGGTACATTCAGAACAAGAAAATAACTGTATTCTGAAAGACCAAAATGAAAATCTGATTCACTACTACGGAGAAAATCTAAAGCCATAATATGCAGACAATCACTATAGGTCTTTAGGTTGCATAGATACCGAGTGAGCATGCACACTGCTTCTTCATTCATTTCATGGACATGAATCTGCTGATTGGAAATAGCCCCCCCCCCCGTTGTGTTCACATAAGTAGTCCTGGGATTCAATAGAGAGGAGTTTCAGGATCACGATGCGTACAAGGTTTAATCGAAAGTTAGCAAATATTTTGATTCAAAATAAGTTTTGTCATTGCGTATTTTTAGACTTCGTAAAAGACACCCGCTTACAAAGTTCTATTCATTCAGTCACCAATCAATAGCCCAGATGTTAATGTAATAGACAACTTATTTTATCGCAAACGGAGAGGTCAATTGGATGTCTGCATACTGAACACTTGAATACAAACACATGAAGAAAACAATAAAAACTAGGTTCATGGACTTGATAGTGAAGGGTTTTGAAGAATGTAGTCTCAGCCTAGAGCACGACGTAGAAGTAGCTAGACAGTAGTCGAGCAAGTGGGACTTACAACTAAACCTCGAAAAGTGCCAACTTTTAACCGCAAGAGCTAATACCATCCAGGACGATGAGCCACCACTGTAGCCCACAGAGGTAGTTAGGAGTGATTCTCATCAGGAACCTCAAGTCCGAAACACAATGCCTGAAGGTAGCAAATAAGGCATGTGATGGACTTTTTCAGGTTGTGGACTACCACTAACTGTAGAAACGCGGAAGTCATTGTTCCTATTTATAAGGCAATAGTTGGCCCTCACTTGGAATACTGTGTTCAGGCATGGACTCCATACTAAAGGAAAGACATATTATGACCAGAGAAGGTGCAACGACTTGCAACACGAATGGTGGCGGGACAAAAAGGAAAAAGCTATGAACAGTGACTGCGGGACTTTAACCTCTTCTCGCAGATATTTAGACTTGAGAGAGGATACCTGATAAAAAATTTTGAAATAGTCAGAGGGCTATCAGGACTTCACGCAGAAGACTTGTTTACAGCTTCTTGTGCTCAAAACACGAGGGGTCATAGCTAAGATGGAGGTGCGGTCAACTTTTCACATCGGATCATACGTACGTGGAACAGATTACCCGCAGGAGTGGTCAACAGTACCAATGTGCACAACTTCAAGGTGGCAGCGGATGCGTGTTTTCAAGAAACGTCCCCCGAGATTAAGCGGTAGCGTGTATCGTCATTGAGAGCCAGGCAATCTGTTAGGTCAATCTGTGAAAACGAGCCTTTCGAATGACGTCTACTAGGGACAGTAAATGGCGTGATAGGTACTCGAAAATGGGACGCTTCCAAAAGTTAAGGTCCCTTACTGATCAAGCGAGTAGACACTCTTTTTGTTTCCTTTTTCAGCTCGACTGAGAAAACCCGACAAAAGAAACTCATATAACGCAGTATTGGAAGCCCGGAACACCCGCCGGCAACACAATAAGCAAACTGGCAAAGGCCATTGTTCGTCCCGTGAAGACTGTGCTCGACAACAGTATCACAGTTAGGTACTACTTACATTATAAATGAAGAAGCGGTTAGTGGATTCTCACGATATCCAGTAGTGGAAAAGACATCCCGGAGCAGGTTAGCGATTTCAAAATTATAACGGAATATAAGACCAAACCGTTGAACTGTTGGGTCACTGATTTTCAGTTC